AATCGCAATTAGATTATTCCCCAAATCGTGCAGCCCCTAATTCAGACTGTAGGAAAAACCCTTTGGATTCCTCTTAATCAATATTTATAATGTCTCATTGTTTTCCTGGAAAACTGGAATCCCTAAAGGCCATTGCACGTAAGATAAATGTTGATGTTCTTCTGTTGAAGTTTGTAGGTAAATGGATAATTGTTCTTTCACTGCAGCAAAACTTGACCAAGTTGCTGTAGTAAATCTGGCTCCTATAATAATCTACTCTAATCTACTCTGACATTTGATTACAATGAGTCAAGCGCATTGTTTAAGTGGCTGTTGAATAATTGTATGTATGCAGATCATTAGTGTATGTTTAGGTAGAGTATTCGTGAATGATATACATGTAGGCCTACTGTATGTTTGCATGTTAATTTGACAGTTGAAATGAAACACACACACACACACACATGTTGTTTTGGCGGTCCGCTCAGTGTTGGATCCCACACTCTCACGCAGAGAAAGTTTTCTGAATTCCAGACGGACTGAGGAGATGACGGGTCATTATCTTCCACAAATCTTTTCCATATTTTTCAGTTTAGTTTGTGCTCATGACATCATCCGTTTGAGAGGATGTCACACGCACAAGCAGTCTTGTCTAGTTTAACATGACTTTGTTAAACTCATTTGAAAACTTGACGATGGCATACGGCTTTAGTTACTACCGCCTGAGCTCATGCCAAGTTAGAGACAATCTGTTATGGAAATGCTATTTTTTTTGTCAACAAGAAGAATAATGGATTGGAATGGATTTTGGGTCCTGATTTAGGGCTCATGTCCATAACTTTGTTCGGAAATCAGTTCATGTGTTGAGAAAATACTGAATGTTCTCTTCCAATATCAGAGTAGCACATGATAACAAAGGCCCTACGTAGCTGTGTACATGACAGGATGTATGATTACCTAGAAGAGCATCAGGACTGTTTTAGGCATATGATAGCTGTATACAATTCAGAATTTTGCGATTTTGAGAAAAAGCTCAGATTTTGAGGAAAAAGTCAGATTTTTTAGAGAAAGTCAGCATTTTGAGAAAAAGTCAGTATTTTGTACATGACAGGATGTATGATTACCTAGAAGAACTCATATTCCTCCATCTTGTGACTGTGTAACTCCCTCTCTTGTATATCAGCATGTGAAGGACTAGTTGTACCAAATGCTCTGTGTGTGATGACTACTTCCACTCTTGCAAGGATAATAAATACATGTATCCTGATTCTTGAATCTCAAGCCGGGGTTTTCTAACAACATATAAAAGACATGTATCCTCTGTTCCACCATCTTGTTTCCATGGTTACTCACCAGACCCCCTGACAGGGCACATCTCGGGGATTTGTCCCAGTGCCCAGCAGCGTCCCGTGTCGCAGCAGCACTGCATCTTCGTGTACTGGCCGTTCAGCTCCGCGGCACAGCGCCCGTTAGCCAGAGCCGAGAAACAGGTGCCAACACGCTGATCTGGAGGAAGAGGGATCCGCAGAGTTAGAGGAGAGAGCAGACAGCGGGGCAAAAGGTCATCAGGAAATACAGGAAATACATATACACATGGCTGATGGGGTTTTATGTATTTACTTTGGGGTTCGGATTAGGGTAGGGCTGGGGAATATATTGCTAATATACAATTTATCGATTTTGTGGATATCGTCTTAGATTTTCAATATTGTTATGGTTTGTTTTTCTTGGTTTAATAGGTCATTTAAGTTCCTACCTACATATTTGAGCCTAAACATACGATATTCTTACCTTAAAATGTAATTGCAACATCTTTATCCTGGTATTTTACTAACAAATATTGTCATGATATACCCTTCTTGTCAAGCCAATTATGGGCAGTGTGACTAGTGATTATTTTCAGTTATTCCATCATTTAGTCGATATAAATGTCAGAAAATAGTAAAGTTTCTTGGGTATTTCAGCCTGAATTTTAGATCACACATTTAGTATTTTTAGCACCACTGATGCTTAGTGTGTGGGAAAACATTTCAAACAGCAGTGAACAGAGGCTGGTGGCTGCAGAGGAAGCCTCTCACAGGCTGGCAGGGGGAAAGGTTGTCTGGGGTCTCCGCTAACTGAAGGCATCTGAAGGGCCTCCTAGAGAGGGTCTTATTTGTTACAGTTTCCCAGGTCAGGGTCAATGGGGCAGGCGAGGGGGCATCGGTTCAAAGGGCGGGTGTGAAGAGGAGTAAATGGAGAGGAAAAAGACGCAGGGGTTTCTGGGTATTTAGGGGAAGGACCAAGAAACATGGCGAAAAGGCAGAGTGAGACGGACAGAACGCATGTGTGTGATTTTAGAAAGTGAATAACATATGTGAAGGGGAATTTTAAGTGCATGTACAGAAAAAAGCTGAAAACAGAATGAAGGGAGGGAGGGGGAGAGGAGGGAGGAGCTCAAGTCGATTAACTCACTAATGAGCCAGCAGTCTGGAATGAATCAGTTCCATGTGGAGCAATTCTTGCCAATTAGATTGAAAATGAGGGGCTGTGTCTGGGAGCACATATTGTACAGTACACACACACATTTACATGCAATTAAACACACACACACAGATATGCATTCCTGTACATATCCAAGGGCAAGTACAAGAAAAACTCACCATATGCCAGTTCACATACGTATATTAACGTAGACAAATACGCAATGTAAAAAACATCCCATAGGAATGAACGAGCTGGCGGCCGGGTAGAGGAGAGAGGGGGGGGGGTTTGCTGATGAGGACGATGATGACTTAAATTGGATCCAGACGGTGGTTTAGCTCGCTAGTGTTGCTCCGCTACACAAGCATGTGCTTTCATTTGTTGAGGTGTTTTTACAGACTGGCTGACTGGACAGGTCTTTGGCTTTTTTTCTCCAAACTTCCACCGTGTGACAGGGCATTAGGCTCTGATTACTGTCGGCCCCCAACAGCTCCCCCTGGCATACTTCACCATGGTACAGTACACAAAACACAGACGGGTAGCCAACAGTATAACCTCCAGGACCAGAGACATACATCCTGCTTCTGGAGCACGAGGGCCAAAGTGAAATATTGTGAGATATAATTTACAATACGCAAAGAAACTAAAACGAAAAAAGAATCAAAGTGAAACAAGCTACGTTTATGATATCTGTCTTTTAAAGCTTCGGTTTGTGTCTGAGTCAATTGGCAACCTCCGTGTCTGAAAAGTGAATCTAATGTAGAAGTGCCTTAAACCTCACACAACCTAACCCTAACCTCACATTGTATAGAAGTCTATGAGAAAATGACCCTACTTTCTCCTTGATTAATGACCTCAGTGAAAATGTTTCTACTGTGTTTATAGTCTTAATCTTTAGTTAAAAGTATTTGTTTAATACAGCAACATGTTTATTTTGTAAATGATGGTGTCATTTAGCTTGGAGTAAAGGTGTAAGTTATAGGGCGGGGCTACCTTTTAATTGACAGGGTGATGTCCAGTCAGGTATATGTCTGTGTTTTTGTCTTACAACTTTACCCGCAGTGTGTTTTCACTGCATAAAAGTGAATTGTTTAGACGCCTTAAATTGTCTTTCGGTAGTACTTCACCATCTCAAGTCAATTCTGGTTGCAAAAAACTAAGATGGTGGTCAAAACATTAAACTCCAAGTTTCAAAATGGTATTCTACAAATCATTGGGTGACGTCAGGGTGACTGTGGAGTAAGTGAGACTTTGGATCACTGATTTGAACCTCACTCGGTCTAGTTCTTGTCCTTTTTGTGAAAATGGGTAAGAGACGAAGGTACCTGGTTTATTGCCTCTCTTTTCTCTGACCTTTCAGCAGGCTGCAGAAGAGCAATTGGAAGCTACAACCGATATAACAAGAAGCCAGATCCTGATTTCAGAGGATGGAGGGGGGGAAAAAAAACTCCAAGAGGAAATGGTGACACAGATAAAGAGGATGAGAGCGCGAATTCGGTCTGGTTTAAGAGATAACAAAAAAACAACAGCCGGAGGAGACAGAACATGAGACAAAGGATTTGAATGGACATGAAAACATGCAGAGCTCCAGAGTAAACAGAGACACTTTTGTCTGTTAGTCACTTCAGAAAATATAGGAGAAAGTAATTAATGTCTTCAGGGGCAAAGAAGAAGGAAGTAGATGACAGTAGAAAGAGGATAAAAAACAAAAACATGGACCATGTAACGGCAGACGGATGGAAAACTTTTGGGTGTGGGTCACCACATTTATACCACAACGTTTAACCGCAACTGCATCTGTAACATCCATCACACTCCCACTTGAACTCACGATCACATTCAAGATATTGGAATGTATTACATTTTAGTAATTTTTTCATGTAGTAAATGTTTGTTTCCCTGTCTGAGTTCATTGGACTGCCGACAGCCGCAACCCAGTATTTCCTCTTAGTTTTACATTGAAAAACACTATTCCTGTATCATTGGAGTTAAACAATCCACCACCTAACAGGCAAGCTCACACACCACCTGCAAGACAGGGCCCCCCACCCTGTATGGTACAGGACGTGTTTGTACATGTGAGACTCTGGGCATTTCAAAACATCTTGGTATTTCTGACCCATTTCCTCTCGGACTTGACCAAAAACAAAAAGTCTTCACCAATGATGGAGCATTGATTACATAAAAATAAGCTTGGAGGAAACGTGTATTTCTAATTACAGAAATCCGGAGGTTTCACTTTCCTTCAGGAGCTTTTATTAGCCGGGTCCTGTGATGCTGATCGGGTGAAGCACACCGACCCTGAGCTGTCCCTTTCGGGCCTGAATCTTGAAATAAAGTATTAACACCTGGCTGTGTTTCACTGAGGCTGCCCTGATTGGAGAACACTACGGGAATACATTTACACCTGGTAGTGTTTCACGGGACATGTCAGTGAAGTATGCACTGTATGTGGCTCGGCGTGTGTGTGAATGAGTCAGAGGGGCACGGACATTAGAGTAGATTAATGCTGTCAAGGCCAAACAGTGCGTGCAAGTGTGTTTGTCTCCACATGGTGACCACAGGCCGGCTTGACTCATCAGATCCAGGAAGCAGTGATGGAGGAGGGGGGGAAGTCAGGGGCCAGATGTGAAGCTTTTTTTGCTAGCCACGGGGTGAGGAAACGCACAAATGTGAGACTCACCCACACATCTGGTGCCATCTGTGCTGGAGACGTAGCCTCGTGGACAGGTGCAGACGTAGCTACTAGCCGTGTTGCTGCACTCTCCTCCATCACACACACCGGGATGGTGGTGCATTCATCGATGTCTGAAACACACAAACATGCAGTTACATCATTGCAAGAATACCTCATCAAATCACGAGACACAGCTGTCGAGGCGGCCTCAAGCCAACTCAGGACATTTTTTTAAACGCCCGACATGTCTTTGTTTGGAAGGATGCAGGATCATGCCGCAGTACAAGTGTATTGCTGTTCAGTAACAGTTTCTCCATGAGGAAAGAATAAAGCAAATCAAAAGGATCTGCAGTCAGATAAAGTGGAATGAATCCACTTCTGGTGTTTATGACAGGAGCAATCCAACACAACTGTTAAAGGGACATTTCATCCCCAAATCATTTATCCAATGGTACATCTGCCTTCTCTACAGTAATGCAACTCGATGGTGTTTGGCTTGTGATGCTCAACTCCCCAATATATGTTTGAAAAGCGTAATGTGTATTACCAGTATGACTTAGTTACTAAAGATCATCCACAAAGGGTTTTATCTAAATGTAAAAAGGAAAAATGTAGTTAAGTTCAACAAAAGTATATAAATATGTAAAAGTTTACTTTAGAACAGTGTTGGGCGAAGTTTGCTAAAAATATAGGTTATCAAATAATCATGTATCAGATTAACCTGTCCCACAAATAATAACCAATAAAAATACATATAAAACAAACACCGCGACCCGACCACGGATAAGCGGGAGAAGATGGATGGATAAAACAAACAAAAACATCTAAGAAATTACAATGTTGAAGCTGAGTATTTACTGAAATCACAAACATTTAAGTACTGAAAGTGTTGGATGCCTTGTTAAGTCTGTAGTCTTCCTTGCTTGATCTTTGATTGGATATCTGCTGATTTTAAAGTGGACCTATCATGCTATTTTTAGGCAATAGCATGGGTCTCAGATATATAAAAATATAAAAAAACATGTCTATGAAGTGTTTTGCTCAAAATACCAAACAGATCACCCATTCTAGCCATGCCTCATATCCCTCTATTTCACTTCCTGTTTCAAAAGTGCTGATTTGGGTATAAAGCTTTAAAAAAAGGAGGGGTCTGAGCTCATGGGGACCCGGCAGCTACTGTCTAAACTAAATGCTGCCGTGATGAAACGCCATATCATGGATTATCAAGGATCTGAAACAGTTTGGAGCTCAAAGGCTTTCTCTCTTGCCGGTTATACCACAAGGTGAGTTCCTTTTTACTTCCTGCTTCTTCACACACATGCTCTCCAGTACAGGTTAGCTCTGAGTGTTAGCGATGCTAATGTAAACACCGACCATATTACGTCCAAAACAGTCGGGCATTGTTTCTGATAGCAACGTTTTCTGATTGGGCCGTGGGTCCACATTTCAGATATTACGTCGTATCGGACGCAAATCTGGATCAGCTCTGTTGTAGCCCCGTTTTTAGAGATTTGGGTACGGAGGAAAAGAGAGAGGGTTTTATTTTCTGACGCTGCGTGAGTTCCTGACACACCGGGGACACATAGTTATGTATAAAAGACGTTGCATTTTGCATGATAGGCCCTCTTTAATAACTGTGCAAATAAATAATGTTTTTATCAGCCAATACTTGATTGTGTTTCGTAAACATTTAAGAAGTTTTGTTCACATTCATCAAGTAAGCTTTAAAGAATGATCATGGAGAAAATGATGTCGACCTCAAAAGGAGTAACTGAGTTGTTTTCCCTTTCTCCAATTTACTAGAATCTACAATTGCTTCTAATCTACAAATGGCGAATAAATTGAGAGAAATTGCTGCAATAAAAGAACCTCCCCAGGCTATAATTGACCTTATTTAAACAGGCCATGATTCCACTCTGAGGGTACCTGGGTCTTGGCAGGGCCCACCTTGGTGTGGCTCTCTTTATGATGGCATTTAGCTGTAATATTGAGAGGAAGGGGCCCTCATTGCTCCATGACGGGGGGAACCCAAAGCGAAGTACCAGAAGGTATTGGGTTTTTATGATGTGTCACGCTTATTTATACGCATACGTAATTACTGCACCGCTGCGGGGCGTAATTACAGCAATAGACGTGGCGCATGCTTTAATGTGTGTCCGTTTGAATCTAAAGAGTGTGTGTTTTTTTTCTCAGCGTGTAGTAACGCCTGCCATGGGGAGGCTGCCCCCCCCCCTGCTGACTCCTGTCTGACAGCAGTGGCAGAATATAGGTGAGGCAGTAAAAACCCGGCCAAATAAAGCTTGTGTCAGCAGCATCAACAGGCCAGACATTACGCTGCACAGACCTGACAGAGTGTGTGTGGAGGGAAATGTCTCACCTGGATAAAAGTCTACACGTCTACCATGAGTAACTGTAAGAAAATGTGAAAGATAAAGTGTGCGTTGTTTAGCCTGTTTTCATTATTTCTTCTCATTTAAACTGTGATGTGTTGAAACTCCTAATAATAATACAAGTGCCTCGTCTGTGACCTGTATTCATGCTTTAATGTTCAAAAGGGTCTTTCTTTTCTCATACTCTCTCTGGAGGGATTTTTGAGATTTTAACCTTTGCAGACATGCACAAAAACCTATACAGTATAATACACTACAGGGAAGGGAAAACCACAACAAGCATAATTGGAGCTTCTTTAAGAAATCAGGTGTTCACCTACTGCATTAAAAGAAAAAAATATTTGTTTAAGTACGAAGGATAGAAAGTAGCCTATGTTTCAAGTATTGGACTAGAAAACAGTATTTTCCCTTTAAATGCGTATATTCCCAAAGCATTTACCTCTAAATGCTTCTTACATTAGATGTGGACTCCTTGGATTATGACAGTATATTGTATTGTTATATATACAGTATATTACACCTGGTGCTAATGCTAATGCTAATGTTGTTTTCTTCTTCTTCTTTGGAGACAAAATAATGGCGAAATTGGCACCAATACAACATTTAAGACGATTCACTCACGACTTGTTTCAGTCTGTATTGTATGCCTGTAAGTGTTGTAATGTGTAAGCATAGTCATCTTATCGTTCTGTATCTAATTGTATTGGAACATTGTAATTCTACTAATAATTCCCATTTCTTAAAAATGTACAGTCATCGATCACGTCTTTTTTGATGTAACTGTAAGGGAAAACTGTTACCTTTTTGATATCCTGATTACCTAATCCAGGTACATCTACTCAGTTACTGTGTGTAAGTGTGTGTGTGTGGGCGCGCGTGTGTGTGTGTGTATGTCTGTGTGTTTAGCATGTGCGTGAGAGTCAGCGAGTGTCAAAGCAACGGGGAGGTCCGTGTGTAATGAGAAAGTCTCCCAGGTGTCGTAAGTGTTTCTTTGTCCAGCACAAACAGCTGGTTCTGAGCCAGAGGACTGTATTTATGGAAAGGAAAATGGAAGGAGCCGCAGAAAGAGTCGGAGGAGGGGTAAAAAGGAGAGATTGTTAAAGAGCCGGGCAAAAAGCAGGCCGTAAAACCAGCTGCCTTGTTGCGCCCAAAACAGTCAGACACCCATGACATCTTAACTGCACTTCATCCCAACAGCTTTAAACCCCAGTAATTTCACTGTGAAAGCTTTAAGTGGGGCTTGTTTGTGCATTAGCTAGGAGGGCATTTCAATAAAGCTTCCCCTAAGGACCTGCTGATTGTTTCCCAGATTTCACTAAACATTGGTTTCCTGCCGATCCATGACCTCACAAACGCGTCAAAACGGCTCTTTTGTTTTTACGAGCTTTCCAACACTGAACTCTTTCTTTACCCGCTCTGCATGGGTCAAATGACGAAGTTGCAAGATACATTTTAAAATAAACAGATCAACTAGCTAACATCAGTTCGTTTGCAACTGAGAATAGAAAAGAATAACGAACATGTTTCCAGATATAACAAACGTATTGATGCATAATCATTCCTTTTGACGATCCATTTGCTGAATTGAATAATTAAATAGTGGTTTGCCAATTCAAACTTTTGCTTTCCAAAATGTGAGGATTTATTGCTTTTGTCTTATTTTTGGACTAAGAAAGTTATGTTTTCTCTAAGTTTGCCTTTCTGTGTGTAAGCATGATTATGGAAAAACTAAAAGCCTGATTTTCTTGATTAATGGTAGAAAAAGAAAATCAGACAAGCAGTCAGTGCCTCTGCATCAGGAACAGCAAATGTGTTGTCCCTATCTCCACTTAACATCAATTCAAACACCATGACACAATTCCATCAGATTAATGATAAAAACCTAGAGGACATTATTCAACTTCTGAAATCCTCCTCCTGCTGCCTTGATATTATTCCAACAGGATTTTTCAAAGATGTTTTGCCTTGCATGGCCTCAGATCTACTTCATATAGTAAACAAATCTCTTCACTCAGGTATTTTTCCACAGGCCCTGAAAACTGCAGTCATTAAACCGCTCTTAAAAAAGAATAATCTAGATGCTTCAGTAATGAACAATTACAGGCCCATATCAAACCTCCCATTTCTAGGTAAAATCATTGAAAAAGTTGTTTTTCAACAGTTGAGTAATTTCTTGAATTTAAATAACTGTTTTGATGTGTTCCAGTCAGGCTTTCGTCCAAACCACAGCACTGAGACTGCTCTTGTAAAGGTCTTTAATGACATTCACTTAAACACAGACAGTGGCAGAACTTCAGTGTTAGTATTATTAGATCTCAGTGCTGCGTTTGACACTGTTGACCACAACATATTACTAGACCGACTGGAAAACTGGGTGGGACTTTCGGAAACAGTTCTAAATTGGTTTGAATCCTACTTAAAGGACAGAAACAACTTTGTTTCTATTGGTAAATACACATCTGAGTTGACAAATATGACATGTGGGGTTCCTCAAGGCTCCATCTTGGGGCCTCTTCTCTTTAACATCTACATGCTACCACTGGCTCAGATAATGAAGAACAACAAAATAAGTTACCATAGCTATGCAGATGACACACAAATTTACGTAACCATTTCACCAGGAGACTATGCTCCAATTCAAACACTGAGTAAGTGCATTGAACAAATCAATGACTGGATGTGTCAGAACTTTCTCCAATTAAACAAAGATAAAACTGAGGTAATGGTTTTTGGAGCCAAGT